TTTTAAAAAGACATAGTCCTTACCTTCAGAGAGCTCATTTCCCATGGTTGAGCCAGAAACAATATACTAGTTTAAAGGGCTGTGACTGAAGACCTTTCACAATCTCCAGACCCTCTAATTGTACTCTAATTTATGATTTCATCAAATTCTTCATCTTTAAAATGGGGATAATATAACTTTATTTATAGCATTGTTGTGAACAGTAAATAACATCATGTAGCAATGTGGACCCTGGGTGGTCAGACTCCTGACTGGCTCAGTGACTCCATCTCAGCAGTAACAATCCTATTTCATGCCTCAGCAGACTGACAAATTACTACATGTCCTGGAGTTTCATGGCCACTGGTGATATTTAAAACTTCAAATGTTAAATTGCGGGATGTGGGGTCCTTGTGGTAAATACTATGTTTGGGGTAAAAGCAGGTTGTCATGATAGTACATAGAAAGGACACTTGAGTGGGCATGAGGGAGGGTGCAGGGAATCCTTAGGTGCGGTCTGAGGCTGTTAGTCTGAGGATGGAGAAAAGAACTGGCATTTGAAGCAGGAGAGGTTGAGCAAGTAGGTGGAGGTCAGAAAGGGGAGCCTGGTGCTTTAGAGGAGTCATAGGTATTTCAGTAGGGCTTGAGCCTGAGCTGGGATTTGAAGCCATTTTTGTGCGATAGGCCTCTTTGTCCACTCGTAAATTCAATGAACCCTTCCAGGAGGAATGTTTTTATATGTATAAAGTAGGAAACCATAATTGTAGTACAGTTATCAGAATATTTAAAATATAAATGAAATGTATGTATTTATTTTTATTAAAAACTAGAGGCCTGGTGCATGAAATTCATGCATGGGTGCTGTCCCTAGGCCTGGCCTGTGATCGAATCACGAGTGTCTGGCATGGAAGGGCAGGTCCCAGATGAACTCTGGGTCCTGGGCAGCAACTGGGCCCCTAAATCCCCACTCATCTCCCCCCGCCTGAGACACAGTGCCCGAATCCCCACATGGAGATGTGGTGAGCACTGCCAGACGCACAGGCCAGGGTGCAGCAATGACCCCTGGGTCGCCCGGCGGCGCCACATGGAAGTCAGTGGGCAGCGCGCTCTCTCCCAGCCGGCATCGCAGATCAGCTCCAATCCATGGGGAGCCCAACCAGCCCCTATGGCCCAGGCAGCTGTGGCCCGGCTCACCTGGAAGAGGCCACGTGGGTGCGGGGTGGGCTCCTCATGGGCACCTGGCACCTGAGTGCATGGGCTTCCTCTGAGCGAGCCCTGGCATCCTGGGGAAGGGTAGCAGGGGGAGTCAGAGCAAGCTCCATGGATACCCTGCATTCTCACCACACCTACATCCCCATCACCCCGCCCCCTCCCGATGTAGCCAGCAAGAGGTCACAGGCCCCTGCCCAGATGCTGTGGGAGGTTGGTTGCTACCACCCACCTCCAGTTTATCTTCCCAGCCTGGGGCCCAGTCCCAATAGGGCAATCAGGTTCTGTCAGCCACTGGTCACTCACCATCTGTGGGGCGATCAATTGGGCCTGGGTCCCCCCAACCTGGCTCCCTCAGTGCCTGGGAGCCAAGCAACAGCCCTGTTCCCTGCCAACTAATCACTGTCTGCGGGGGGGGGGGGGGGCAATCGGTGGAGTGATTGGGCCCCAGCTTGTACCTGCATTGGCCTAGCACCACCTGCTCACCAGCTCCACCATCCTGCTGCCATCCTGCTCTCATTGGGACCCATTGGGGCCAGCAGTGCTTCCACTGTTGCTTGTTACCAGTGCCATGTTGCCGACCCCCATGATGTTCCGTACTAGCCCTGGTGGTCAGCATACATCATAGCGGGTGATCGAACTGCCAGTCAAACAATTTGCATATTAGGCTTTTATTATATAGGATGTTTTCATTGATTTTAGAGAGAAGAAGGGAGAGGGAGAGAGGGATAGAAACATCAATGATGAGAATCATCAAATGGTTATCTCCTGCACAACCCCCACTGGGGATTGAGCCTGCATCCCTGATCAGGAGCGAACCGTGACCTCCTGAGCAACACTGGCTGGGCTGTATGTATTTCTTTTCTTTCTTTCTTTCTTTCTTTCTTTCTTTCTTTCTTTCTTTCTTTCTTTCTTTCTTTCTTTCTTTCTTTCTTTCTTTCCTTCTTTCTTTCTTTCTTTCTTTCTTTCTTTCTTTCTTTCTTTCTTTCTTTCTTTCTTTCTTTCTTTCTTTCTTTTTTTTTTTTTAAATATATTTTATTGATTTTGTACAGAGAGGAAGGGAGAGAGATAGAGAGTTAGAAACATCGATGAGAGAGAGTCATCATTCAGCTGCCTCTTGCTCACCCCCTACTGGGGATATGCCCGCAACCAAGGTACATGCCCTTGACCGGAATTGAACCCAGGACCCTCAGTCCCCAAGCCGACGCTCTATTCATTGAGCCAAACTGGTCCCGGCTGTATGTATTTCTTTAGTAATCTATAATAACACCTAGCAGTAGGTGTAATAACTACTATGATTTCACTAGTGATGAAGAAAATAATATTTGAAATGTCTATAATAACTGGAAGGTATTATGAAAATATTTGATTTCTATGGGTTACAAAATCCCATATATTGTTAATAGTACTGTGGTTGATTGCCTACTTTTATAACTAGAGGAATTCCTAAATTTCAATGAGAGATCAGTAAAATTTAAGATAAAATTAAGGTCCTCCCTGCCCCCTTCGCAATCCAAGGTTAGTTATTATAGACTCAAGTTATATACCCTTGGTTTTGGGCTGTAGCTATTAAACAAGGTGCCCTATCTTATCTTCAGTCAGATTCCAGATTCTGCCTTAAGTTCAGTGTCTTATTTGGGAATGCTCAAATCTGATCAAGCCATTCCCCTCCTTAAAACTCTTCATTGGTTCACCTGGGTCTTGAGGATTGAGTCTAAATTATTGCAGCTCACAAATCCCTTCCATATGGGTCTCTCTTCATTCTGTTACTTCTGTTCTCTTTCCTAGCCAAACAGAACTTTTCAAACAAAGTCCTCTCTTGCCTTCTAATTATGAGGGCATTTGCTACTAATGCCCCATTGGTTAAGAAAAACACTAAGTTATAAAGAAAACACTAAGTTATAAAGTTTGTGTGATTCTTTTTTTTAAAAAATATATTTTATTGATTTTTCACAGAGAGGAAGAGAGAGGGATAGAGAATTAGAAACATCGATGAGAGAGAATCATCGATCAGCTGCCTCCTGCACACCCCCTACTGGGGATGTGCCCCAACCAAGGTACATGCCCTTGACCGGAATCGAACCCGGGACCTTTCTGTCCACAGGCCGATGCTCTGTCCACTGAGCCAAATCGGTTTCGGCTGTGTGATTCTTAAAGCAAAATTGTTTTTCTCTTGTATTACAGGTTTATTATACTATAAATATTAAAATTTTCTTTATAAAGTGATTACCACATCCTTTTCTCATTGATCCTCAAAACAGTCCTATTTGGTGGGTATCATTAACCCTGTTTTACAGATGAAATTGAAACTCAGAGACATTAAGTAAGAATGCAGAAAACTGGCCTCAAATAGAATTAAACTCTCTCTTTTTTATTTTTTTATTTTTTCATTATTTGAAATGAAGTCTTTAGGGAACTGGAGGAAGAATGTTTATTTAAGTATACTATTTCTTTTGTTTTTTACTAAATGGGGAAGCAAAATGCCACAGCACTTAAATTGTATGGGCTCACAGGAGTCTCATTTTCTTTCTTGTCAAAGTGACCCAGCAGTTGGTTTAGGTGCTTGGGGACATAATAACTCTTTTAACCCAAGAGGGTGCAATAGAGTCTGTAATGTTGGTAAGAACAATGCAGCTCTCTAAAGCTCTTGGCCTAGCACCGCCCGCTCACCAGCTCCACCATCCCAATGCCGTGGCAGTTCTAAAATGGTTAAAAAGTGGAAAATGTATTTGTAATTGTTCTCAGACCTCACATCCCATTTCAGTGTTGGGAAATCCAAAGACTGATGTTATTTTGTAAGTTCCATTTTTTCTTTCTACATAAACTGGGGTAATCAGTCATCTTCAGGCAGTCAAACCAGTTTGATGGGTACTCCTCCCACTTCCCCCATCAGAAACTGGTTTCAGACCTTAGTACTCTTTGGCTGATGGTTAAAGGTGCATCAACAGGTGTAGCAGTGAAAAAGAAAAACACAAAAAACCTTGCAAACTACACAGAGAGATTTTGTAAATAGAAATAAAGGCGGTGTAAACATAGCACCTGCACTTTCTCCACTTTCCATTGCACAGTAGACACCCAGTAGAAAGAGATCACAGTAGACAACCCACAATCCACAAAATAGAGTCTATTTAGAGAGTGGAGGGGGAATGGTGAGGAGGTCTGGCTGCTCCTGCTTTTGTTCAAAACATCTTCTGGTCAAACATTTTATTCAACTAGCTAACAAGTGGGAACCTTGAAGAATTTTCAGTGATAAAAAGGTCACCAAGACAATAAGTGAGAACTCTTTTTATTACTCAGGAAGCCAGCATAATTCTCTGTCGATACAGGAGGAAAAGGATCTGATACAGTTGGAAATTAGTAGGGTCCATGAACAGTTGGGGTGTGCTAGAAGAGGGTCTAAGATGATGGGGCTGCTGTATTAGGCAAGATGGAATTCAGTAACTCTAGTCATCTTCCTAGATGCCACGTGAACTTTGCCTAGCCTTCTCTCCGTTTATTGCCTGCAAAAAATAAAAAAAATAAAAAAGTGGCAGAGAGGAAGTAGGCAACAGTAGGAGCTGAGCAGGCATAGCAGGAGTTTGTACCAGTTTGTTGTGTTTAGTATTAGATTCTTTTTGATATATTTTAACAGATTAGTATTTTTTATGTAATTTGGAAGAATTTTATCTGAGATTCTGATTTTGAAAAGCTCATTTGAATTTGTTTTGCTTCATGGTTTTCTTTTCTTTTCTTTTTTTTTTTTTTTTTTTTTTTTTTTTTTTATAAATTAACCCATTTATTATAGGCTCTCAATGTTTCCAACTGTGGAGCTTCTACTGGTCTTTCAATTCCTTCAGTCTTCTGATGGCTGACTTTACTGTGACGGCAGAAGTGGTGTTGTAGGTCCAGGCACCGCCAGCGACTGTCTTCATGCAGGATCCACAGTGCCAGATCCCCACGGCTCGCCTCTTCATCTTGGTTTTGCCACAGAAGGAGCAGGTGTACTTGGCGTGCTGGCTGATCTCAATCTTCTTCACCATTTTCCGGAGGGAGGCGCCATAACGGGTCCCGTATTTACCGACGATTCCGACCTTCTTGGTGCGTTTAGCCATGTCGCCGCGAACCAGGCCGGACGCCGAGAGGAAGCGGTGCAGCTGCTTCATGGTTTTCTAATGGTTTTAATGTGCAAAGAAGAATTTGTTGTCAAGAATTACCTCTTTTGGCTCTGGCTGGTTTGGCTCAGTGGATAGAGTGTTGGCCTGAGCACTGAAGCATCCTGGGTTCGATTCCAGTCAAGGAAGGGCATGTACCTCTGTTGCAGTTCCTCCCCGGCCAGGGCCCTGGTCGGGGCATGTGCAGGAGACAACAAATCAATGTTTCTCTCACATCGATGTTTCTCTCTGTCTTTCCCTCTCTTCCACTCTCTCGAAAAATCAAGGGAAAAATAAATTCAGGTGAGGATTAAAAAAAAAAAAATTACCTTTTGGTCCAAGAAACTAATTGAATTTGTGACTGAATCAAGGGTTATATGGGTATCCCAAATGTTAACCAGACTAGCTGGTAAATAGAATAGTAAATAGCTAACTTGTCAGAAAAACCTTTATAAAATCTTTCCTAAATTAAAAATATAGTCATTTAACAACATACACTTTAATTATTGTAATAATGGCTTACATTTATTAAGCACTAATTACTTTTGGTTGCCATGGTAAATACTTCATCTCTAATCCTTACAAAGGATACTATTATCATTATAATTTTATAGAGAAGGTAACTGAAACTTTATTAATTTGTTCAATAATTTCTCAAGAGCACACAGCCAGTAAGTCATGAACATAGAATTTAAGCCAGATGTGTTATATGTCAAAGTCTATGCTCTTACCTTCTATACAATTTTATGATGTTTATAATAGCAAAACATTGGAAACAACTTGAATTTAAACAAAAAAAGACTCGTTAAATATGGTCTAATCAATACTGTAATAATATACAGTAATTAAAGTTATGTTTAAAAACCTATTTAGAGACAACAGTATGGTGGTTACCAAATAGTAAAGGGTAAGAGGGTCGAATTTATGGTGACAGAAGGAGACTTGATGGTGAGTGGTAAACACACATGCAATATATAGATGTATTATAGAATTGTATACTTGAAACCTCTATAATTTTATTAGCCAATGTCACCCGATAAATTAAATTTTAAAAAGTCTATTTAGTGATATGAAAAATGATGTATTGTTAAGTGAAATAAAAGCAGGCTATATAAACAGTATATTGAGGATGATGTCCATTTTTAAATACATACATATATATATATATATATATATATATATAATAAAAGGGTTATATGGAAATAAACTGAATGGCAAAACAACCAAACAACCAATCAAAGCATAATATGCTAATATATAGTCAGAGATAGTATCACTGGGTGTTGCAATTATGAGTGTATATATTTACTTTCTACTTTTGAACTTTTCTACATTTTCCAAACTCTCTACAATTCACATGCATTACTTTTCTAATTATGTAAGACCCTTCAATGTTATTTAAAGTAAAAAAGAGAAATACAGTACAGAGTAACAAATATACCATCATCAATTCTGTGACAGATAACTAGAATTTTATGGGGAAAGAAGAGTGAGGAGAACTTAATATGAATGTAGATGTGATACAAATGCAATTTCTTTCACAGGTGCAGCCACCAATGCAGATATGTCTCATAATTTTCCATTAGCCAATATCTTAGTAACCAGGGCCATGAGTAAGCACAGTCATATCCTGATCATTTTCCTCCTTCTTGAGTCGCTTTCCTCCCTTGGCTCCTGTGCCTCCCCCCCTTCCTATTTTCCATCTACAAGTTATTGGCCTCACTTTCTCAACCTCCTTTGATGGTTCCCTCTCTTCCCCTCACCTCTCTTTACATTTCAAAGAGCCCCAGACTTGGCCTTGATTCTCCTCTTCAACATCTACCTCAGATGAAAAAAATATTAAATGCCTTCAGGAGCCAGGCTAGTAACAAGTCAGTGAAGCAACTCCTTGATTTCACAATTCCCTTGGCCCAATGTTAGCCATCTCCACCCCAGTGAATAGCTTATCTACCAACTGTTCAAGTCAAAAATTTAGAAGCCATTTTTACTGTTCCTTTTTCCTCATCTTCACCTCTTCACATCCAATACATCAGCAAGTCCTGTTGGTTCTAATTTTAAAATATCTACTAACAAAACCAACAATATATATGTAAAATCTCAAATCCTTTTCGTTCCCTTTTTAGCCTCCATATTGCATAGGCTATTTATAGGCTATTTCAGGTTTACCCGAAATGGCTTTTTTGCTTTTATTCTTGCCTGACTATCATCCATTCTTCACACTCAGCCAGTTGTATTAACCCTTGGATTTGGAATTGAAAACTCAGATGTCACTCTAGTATTCTTCCATTCTTCCTATTGGAAAAATAAAATAAGCCTAGCTTGTCTGAATGATCACAATTCAGAATTAATTTATTAACACTAAAAAAAGTGAATTCACTTTGGTTTCCTAGCAGCTAAATATTTGGGAATCTAAAACACACACACACACACACACACACACACACACACACACAATTTGTTTGCTCATTTGTTCTGCTAACTTTGTACATTACCACCTTTAGTGGTTTAAAACAACACATATATATTACCACCTTGGTTAATAATGGTTGATGGAGAATTGATTAAAAGGAAAATTCTATTCTATTCTTAATTCTCATCCACCTGTAAAGAACAAACCAGAAAGACTGAAGTAAATGTGTATTATAGTCTGAGGGTGGCTTACCAAATTTGTTTCCACTTAAGTTAGTCTTACCTCATTTTCCCAAGACTTCAGTAGTTTTTGTTTTGTTTTTGCCTTCTAAGCTTCTACAACTATGACTCATAGAACTAGAACTAGATCAGTTCTGCCATGTGTTACTTTCTATATTAGTTTTTTCTCAACTGGTAAAAATGACTTAAGCAAAATACATTTTTTTTAAGCTTAAGCACAAAGTTAATTGTCTAACAATTTCCCATTAAGAGAAATTGGATTTAGCAGAGGAATAAAGACATTCTAATTTTTGCTATATATTTTATATTATATAGCAAAAACTATATAATATAAATATTATATAATTTTATAATAGCTGTTTCTTCCATAGTTGTTGACTATAGAATTTCCAGTAATCTCAGTTCTAGGAAAAGAGTATATTTTCCTAAGTGGTATTACTTATTTACTAACCACATTTTACGTTAGAAATAAACCATTTTGAAGTTGACACTGTTTCTGTGTTGCCCTTAACATGAGATCTAACATCTTTTCTTTTTTCTCTTTTTTCTTTTCAAAGAACTCTCAATTCTTTTTCCTTCTGATTTAGAACATTGTTGCTTTTTGAATAGAAATATATATAGTCCAGATTGCCAAAATTTAGGGATTCTCTAGTTTATCCCCAATATTCTACATGAGTGATACTAAAATCTTTATACAGGTTATTTTTATTAACATTAACCTTATTGTTATATATGTGTCATCAAATGAGTATTCTGAAATAAAATAAAAGTTAGTTCATTGGTTATAAAACTTGCCCTTGCATTGGATTTACCTAGGACGCTTTAAAGAAATATTGATGTTGGATTCCTACTCAAGGTTCTGATTTAATTGGCCTGGGCATTGGGATTTATAAAAGGTTCCAGGTTATTTTAAAGTAAGGCCAGGGTTAAAATCGATAGAATTAGGCATTACAACACAAAGATATCATTTTCTTATACTTGAAACTAGCTATGTATGAAAAAGATGGCAATATATTCCTTTTTAATTTTAATTTTAGTGGTTTAAAAGAACACGTATTTATTATTTTACATTTCTAGAGGTCAGAAGTTCAAAATGGGATGGACTGGGCTGCAATAAGGTACTGACAGGACTGCATTCCTCCTGGAGACTACAGGTGAGACTGGTTTGATTCCACCTTCTCCACTAGAGGCTGTGTGAACTCCTTGGCCTGTGGCCACTTTCTCTCTCTTCAAAGTCATCGGTGTAGCATCTTCAAATTTCTCACCAATTCTAACCATTTGTTCTGACTCTGTCTTTCACTTATAATTAGACCTATATAATCCAGAGTAATCTCTCATCTCAAGATGCTCAATTTACCATCTGCAAAGTCCTTTTCCATGTGAGATAACATAGTCACAGGTTCTGGGGATTAGGATGTAGATATCCTTGGGGCTCATGAAGGGGGTATGCTGCTGCCCTCTACAAGACCCATAGGCTGTAGTTGTTTTCCTCTCCTAACTCGACACTTTTCCTGATGCACTTTCTCACTCGGGTGGATGACACCACATTTGTATCTCCAATTCCAGCGGTGACCATTCACTGGACATTTCCCCTTTGATGTCCCACAGACTTTGGAACCTGTGCTTCTCACCTTTAGGTCTTTGCACACTTGCTGTCTTGGTTTAAGCACCCTTTTCTCCTGTGATACTGCCTTCTTTTTCCTTTACAACTCAAGACATTCCCTTCTCCAGGAAGCTTTTTTACTTTTTTTTTTTTTTTAAATACTGAGATATAATTGATGTATAACATCGTGTAAGTTTAGGTGTGCAACCTGTTAATTGGATATTTATATATTACAATGTGATTATCACCTCTATCATGTCACGTAATTATTTTGTGTAGAAATTTTGAAGTTTATAATCCAGTATTGTTGATTACAATCACTATACTGTACATGCAAGCTCAAGGACTTATCTGCTAGTTGCAACTTTGTACCCTTAAAAAATGTCTCCCCAGTTCTTCCACCCTGTTTCTCACCCTCTACATCACAGAAGTCTTCTTTCTCTACTTGGAGTACTAGCAAGCAATTCAGAATTCAAACCCATAAGGTGAGGGTTAGAAATAGTAATTTATTTTCCTGTCTGTTTGAAGTCAGTCTCCTGGTGTCTCATTCCTTATGTGAAATACCCTCTCCATGACTGAAATGATAATCTACCACTTTTAGGGTACACAATAGACTTTCAAGAGACATCACCTGGACAAGTAATTCAGAATGTAGCTGATAATGTTGGCAGTTGATATGCACTTATTATATAGACTAGAGGTCTTGGCC